GCTGACCTGTAGGGAGCCCATAATCACAGACCTAGCCACTCTGAGGTTGTTAGTATCTGCAGGAACAATTGTGGGGGTGTGGTGTGGTGCACACGTGTGTATCTATAACCATGTGTTAGAAAATGCAGCACCTCTATAACAGTAGCCAGAGAGGGTGCCTGGGAGACATCCACGCTCTGTGACTGAGTTTCCATCACAGAGCCCATCTTAGGCAGGTGGAAGAAAGAGAACCTGTGTGTACAATTCAGTCTGAAGGTGGGCAGCATCCACTCCCCAGGGCCCCCATTTATACCCTGCACTTCAGTCCCCACTATTCAGCCCAAAGACATGGTGCCCAGTGGTGTGCTGGGCCTGGCTTAAACCAGCTCCCCAGAGCCAACGGTTAAATTTTTTGAAAAGTTTGCAAGTTGATGGTTAAACAAAGCCATTACTAAAAATTAAATTACATAAACTTATGGTTAAATAAAAAAGGGCGTCTGCACATGGCATTTCTAGAAAGTCATGCTGTGCTGACTGGGTCGAGAGTGGCTGAAGAGAAGGTTCCTGGAGGCACTGCCCCCCACCCCCAGGGTCTCGCCAAGGAGGAGCCCACATCTGGGCTCCTGCTCCTCTCTCCCTGCATCAACCTTGAAGAGCACTGAGAACGTTCACAGCTTCTCCTCTGTCCCCCCACCCCTCACCACACGGCTCTGGGCAGCCCCATCCCTGAAACCTCTCCCAGGTCCCCCAGCCCCTGAACTCAGGATCCCGCATCAGCAAGTCCCCACGGCCTCCACCTCTCCTGAGCTGCACCTCCACCTTCAGCTCAGGCGGAGCCAGGCTCTGTGAGCCTCTGCTCACTCCAGGGCCCGAGGGGACCGGTGGGAGGCTCAGCTGCCCGTTGCTGCCACCACTCCTGCTCTCTAAAATGCCCTGCTTTGAATTGCATGTGTCTGGGGGTCCTTTGGGTTCCTTTTTTATACTTTTGTTAATAGGTATGTTTCAGTCAGGACTCTTTTGGCCACCAGGAGCAGAAACCTCGACTCAAAATGCTTACATGTGTCATCTCACCCCAGGATGTCCCTGGGAAGCAGCAGCAGGGACCGTGCCGGCCTCGGGCCCAGTTTTCTCTGTCCCTTTGTTCTGCCACACTCAGTAGCTTCACCCACTGGCTGGAACCAGCTGAGCCTCTGGGGGCAGTGACGAAGACGCAGGGTGAGAGGGCCCTTGCCTCGGTTTACTGACAGGCCACGTGAGCCCCAGCAGCCTCCTCATGGAGTGTCACAAGCTGGGGCAGAGAAGAGGGGCCGCCCTGGGAGAGCTCACCCACCCACCCAGACACCGAAGGCACTCACTCTTCTGAAGAATGCATGCCAGGCGGGAAGCGAGGTGCCCACCCTGCCCTGGACAAGGAGCTGTCTCCCGGCATGGTTCGAGCAGGTCTGCCTGGCCAAGACTGCACCGGCACATCCCAAGCTCCAGCGCACACACCCTTGTTCACATGTTTTTAGGTCACTAAGCAGTAAAATAACTCACAGACCTCTGTGTACAGATGACTCTCTGATTTTGAACCGGTCTCGGCTGTTTCTCTCAGCTGCTTTGCCTTTGATGTTGGCTTGGAGAAACATAAGTGGCCCCAGGACCCCTCGGATTTCTTTCGAAGGATCAGAGCCAGATCACTAAATGGGTATTTTTGTGATTGTAAAATGCTTTCCTTAAACAAAAGCTTGCCAACAGGATCATCAAACATTGCTTTGCTTATTTCACTTTAACCTTTGGATCTTTTTTCTTATCAAAGATTTACGGCAAGTTATACATTATTACAGATAGAGTTGAGCTGTCCATTTCTTGGAAAACAGGAAAGAGGCTTGGAGCATCAATCAGGGGTGTTCTGCTTTGCTAGGGGAGCTCGCCTCCCCCTCCCCCAGCAGCTCTGGACTCCTGAGGATCAGGAGCCTTCTGCCCCACCCGCCTCAGCATCATCCGCAGAACCTCACGCAGTGTGCACGCCAAGGTGGCTGAGTCGAATGCTGTGTGTTTCTGTGACCCAAAGACCCTGCAGTCTCCTCAACAAATGTGGCTTCCTTCCTCCTCTGGCTGCCTATGCCATCCAGCCCTCAGGTCCCCTCCCCCATCATTTGACCAGGACACATTTTCTCCTTTTCTGAACATCCTGAAGGACAGTGTTCCACATACAGCTGATCACCTGACTCCTCAGGACTGGATTTTCTGCTGTCGGTCCCCACCACCACCACAACCCTCTTCTGGTCTGGGAGTGATTTGAGCTGCTAACCTGAAATCCTCAGCCTGGAGCCTAGGGGTTTGTAATAAACACTTCCCTCCTGAGCTGCCCAGTGAAAGATGGTTTCTGTGCCAGTGTTGATGGCCCATCACCCCCTCTTATTTGACACTGAAAAGAAAATATTGACACAATGTTAAATCATTAGATTTCTCTGTGGCCTTTGGGATTTTATCTCACAAAACTTTTCTATCTTGTTTGTATATTTCTGGAAATCCAAAACACATTAAATGCACCTTGTCCCAGAGATTTATGTCTCCAAGGTCCCCTATTACCTGCTTGGATTTTTATTATCTTTTGCTTGTTCAACAGGAGCGCAGGTGACAGGCTGGGTCTGCTTGTGGGAAGAATGGTGGGACTTTGCTCTATGTGTGATTCGTCTAGAGACAAAAGCATGAAAACCTGAAGCAGCTTTCACCTTGTTGAGGGTGTATGTGGTGGCAGAGTTCAGAGCTGGGTATGACCTAGGGATTAAGGTTCTGGGCAGTGAGAGGAAGACCAGGATCCGAAGCACACACTCATCAAGAGCTTATGAGCACATACACCGAAGTGCACACAGGTCATGCATTCTTGGACTGGATGGGCTGTGGGAGGGTCAGAGAGGCCAGTCACGAAAAACAGGTTCGGGAGTAAGGTTCCAAAGTTAGAGCACTGCCAAGGAGAATCTGTCACTCAAGGTCCATTTCAGAAGGTCCTCTTCCATGAAGCTTTCCCAAACCTCATCTCCTTCAGCCAGTGTGTGGTGTCCCCAAGAGCAGGGTCAGAGTGCACCTCTCACAGCTCTCCTGATGGTCCAGTTGGCATTTCCTGGAGATGTGTTTTTTCTGCCCACCACCTCCAACTTGGGGAGCTTGTGGGTCCCTTCTCCTGCAACCAGAAGCGGAAGTGGGTGGTGCCTTGATAGGCCCCAGAGAACAAAGGGTGAGCACCAAGGATCCGGCCTGCAGAACTTCATGGAACAGGGCACAGCCCTGAGTGCACAATTCTCAGATTGTGTTGGAGCAAAACAAACCTTTATCTTGTCAGTGGTTGTTTTTGGGGGAATTTTGGTTACTCAAAATCAATCTGAATCTTAGCTAATGGTCATGGTCAGGACTTAAGAGTTTGTGCTGTGATGTGAGGCCATTGGAGGGTTTCAAGCAGGAGTGACCTCATGTATAATTTTTTTAAATATCATGCTCACTACTGTTTGGAGAATTGATCACATGGGACAAAAGTAGAAATAGGGAGACTGTTACAGGAGCCAAGTTCAGCTGCCCTTTCACCAGAAACGAAAAACTGGAGAGTCAACTGTTGATGCAAGGATTGGAAGCTTTATTTTCAGAACCTGCACCTGTGGAGACAGACTAAAACTGTCTCAAAGGCCCAGGATCCTCAGCAAGGTTTTTAAAGGGGCAAGTGTGCGAAACAAAGGGGGACGTTATTCGGGCCGGCCCAGTGGTGCACTGGAGAGTGCGCCGCTTGGGAGTGCAGAGGTCCTGTGGAGACAGACTAAAACTGTCTCAAAGGCCCAGGATCCTCAGCAAGGTTTTTAAAGGGTCAAGTGTGGGAAACAAAGGGGGACGTTATTCGGGCCGGCCCAGTGGTGCACTGGATAGTGCGCCGCTTGGGAGTGCGGAGGTGCTCCCGCCGAGGGTTCGGATCCCATGTGGAGATCAGTTCCCACTCACTGGCTGAGCACGGTGCGGGCGCAACACCGAGGGTTGCGATCCCATTGNTCAAGTGTGGGAAACAAAGGGGGACGTTATTCGGGCCGGCCCAGTGGTGCACTGGATAGTGCGCCGCTTGGGAGTGCGGAGGTGCTCCCGCCGAGGGTTCGGATCCCATGTGGAGATCAGTTCCCACTCACTGGCTGAGCACGGTGCGGGCGCAACACCGAGGGTTGCGATCCCATTGCCAGTCAGTAAAAAAGACAAAAAGGAAAAAAAAAAAAAGGGGGGGGGGACGTTATTCCCATCAGGAGGCTGCTACTGTAATCTCACAGACTCCAGGCTGCTCAGTACCTCACGTTTAGTCCTGTAACTCTTCAACTTATCCTTGGAACACAGGTGTTATCTGGTTCCCACGAGCTGGATGTTGTCTTGTTCCCAGAGAACTGTGACTTCAAAGGAAGGATGGTCATTTCTGAAAGTTTCTGATTAGCTTTTATGATCTTGCTTTTCTTACGCAAGAAGCTCTGCAGCATTTTTGTGAGCTGTGCTATGAGTCAAAGTTACAAAAAAACTTCTTGACTAGCATCTTCCTTAAAGCTGTATTCTACAAAATGGCCAGTCTACTGCTAACTATCAATGAGTATGGCTGGGTGGGCTCTTACAAGAGTTGTGGTTTTTCATAACTAGTTGTGTCATGCACTTCTACCTGTTCTGATAGGTAGGGTGGAAATGAAGTGATCTCGCACGAAGTCACACGGGCACTGGCTGTGCAATACCGAGGAGCAGAGGGAAGCAGGGGGCTGCTCAGAGGAGGCAGCGGCTGGACTGACGAGGACTTTGCCTGCAGAAAAGCTACAGTTAGAGCAGCTCAAAGGTTAAAGTGGGGCCATTTTCCCTGGCGGAGTAGGTGCGTTTTCAATCAGATGTGGTCACTCTTGCTGGAACCTTTAATGAAGAGCTCGAGGTGTCAATACACAGAGCCACACTTGCCCTTCTGAAGCTGAGAACCATGGTCACCTGGATTCTCCATGTTCTAACATGTTCATAATAACACCTTTTTTCTTTCTCAGCCACCTTAAAGGACAGCAATGCAGGCTGCTCAGCTGACCCACCTATGCACCCAGGAAGAAGTGAACATACCTTTCCACGGGTCAATGTAGATCTGTTTTCTGAAGGAGACTTGCTTCTTCAGGTACTGTATGATTCTGTCCATGTCTGTTCCACATCAGTGCTTATGCCTGTAGCAGAATCAGGCCTCAGAGTTTTCCAGAAAACATTTTGTTTCAACTTTTGTTGAATTTATCTTTCATCATCATCATTGAATTTCTGGTTTAATAGAGTATTCTATATCTAATGTCCCATTTTTGGAGAAATCTATACTTATGGTGCCATGTGGGTAGAAGTAAGACTTGGGATGGGAAGAGTCAGAAATCCTGGTACAGCAGCATCTGCTCTCCCCCACCCCC